CAAAAGTTCACTACCCTGCAGTGGAATGCACCAGTTGACAATGGTTCAAAAATCACCACTACCTTTTAGAGTGGGATGAGGGAAAAAGGAACAGTGGTTTCAGACAGTGCTTCTTTGGGAGCCAGAAACACTGCAAGTTGACAAAGTTGGCCGGGCATGGGTACACGTTCAGGCTGGGCTTCTGAAACGACATTGGCACCAGTGGTTACAGCCAAGAGGGTGTGTGCTGCACATAGGAAACATCCCCAGATGCCTTCTGTGCCAAGGCTGGTTCGAGCTGGCATCACATGGGTCACAATTGCAGTGGAGTAAGCCAGAGGGCTGTTCACCCGAGGAGATGGTCACTTACACCTTGGAAATTCAGGAGGATGAAAATGATAACCCTTTCCACCCAAAATACACTGGAGAGGATTTAACCTGTACTGTGAAAAATCTCAAAAGCAGCACACAGTATAAATTCAGGCTGACCGCTTCTACTGTGGAAGGAAGAAGCTGTCCAAGCGAAGTCCTTGTTTGTATGACAGTCCTGATAGGCCCGGACCTCCTACCAGACCACTTGTCAAAGGCCCAGTTACATCTCATGGCTTTAGTGTCAAATGGGATCCTCCTAAGGACAATGGTGGTTTCGGAAATCCTCAAGTACTTGCTAGAGATTACTGATGGAAATTCTGAAGCGAATCAGTGGGAAGTGTCGTCCAGTGGGTCAGCTACCGAATATACCTTCACCCACTTGAAACCAGGCACTTTGTACAAACTCCGAGCATGCTCTATCAGTACTGGCGGACACAGTCAGTGTTCTGAAAGTCTCCCTGTTCACACACTAAGCATCGCACCAGGTCAGTGTTGACCACCGAGGGTGCTGGGTAGACCGAAGCACAAAGAAGTCCACTTAGAGTGGGATGTTCCTGCATCTGAAAGTGGCTGTGAGGTCTCAGAGTACAGCGTGGAGATGACGGAGCCTGAAGACGTAGCCTCTGAGGTGTACCACGGCCCAGAGCTGGAGTGCACCGTTGGCAACCTGCTTCCCGGAACCATGTATCGCTTCAGGGTGAGGGCTCTGAATGACGGAGGGTATGGTCCCTATTCTGAGCTCTCAGAAATCACCGCTGCTGCAGGACCCCCTGGACAGTGCAAAGCACCATGTATTTCCTTTACACCTGATGGATGTGTCTTAGTGACCTGGGAGAGTCCTGATAGTTCCGGTGCTGACATCTCAGAGTACAGGTTGGAATGGGGAGAAGATGAAGAATCCTTAGAAGTCATTTATCATGGGACAGACACCCATTTTGAAATAAGAGACCTGTTGCCTGCTGCACAATATTGCTGTAGACTACAGGCCTTCAATCAAGCAGGAGCAGGGCCGTACAGTGAACTTGTCCTCTGCCAGACACCAGCGTCTCCCCCTGACCCTGTCTGCACTCTCTGCGTCCTGGAGGAGGAGCCCCTCAATGCCCACCCTGATTCACCTTCTGTGTGCCTTGTACTGAACTGGGAAGAGCCGTGCAATAAGGGATCTGAAATCCTTGCTTACAACATTGATCTTGGAGACACTAGCAGTACCGTGGGCAACACCACCTCCCACGTTATGAAAGATCTCCTTCCAGAAACCACCCACCGGATCAGAATTCAGGCTATAAATGAAATTGGAGTCAGTTCTCTCTGTTTTACAGATTTAGCTGGAAACAAAAATGTCAGTGTTTTGGTGCACCTTTTTGAAATGCAAAACTAGGAAGAGATTAAACTGGATTTTTTTTTTTAAAGAAAAAAAACACAAGCCAGATACCAAAAGCTAGCTTTCTTATTTTTTAGTTTTTCTTATTCTTATTCTTAGTTTTTCTTTAAATTTTCAGATTTACCTTCATTCTATTTTCACACTGATGTCTTTTGCAAGCCTTTGAGTTTTGTTTTTGTTACAGTTTAGTAATTTATATTCACCAGTCACTTCTTATGTCTTGCTCATCTATATCTGTAAACATGAATCACAGCGTGTGTAGTTACAGGGCTAGGATTTCAGTTTTGTCAAGAGCATTAGCACAAAGCAACAGCAACATATAGAAGGTGTGTTCACTCAGATAAGACTGCCCTAAACTACCATTTTGTCACTCAGTTATTTAACTGTTCAGCTCATTTAAATTAAAATGTGTACTTTAATCTAAAATGCTTTAATAATCTGTATTTCTTATAATTTTAACACCATGAGCTGCCTGTATAAGAAATCAAGTAACCAAAATGCACCTATAAATTATGGAGCATTGTAGATTTTACTAGGTCAATTCATAGCAGTAACTTTAAGAGGGCATTGTGCAATAGTTAGCTGTTTTCTTGTTCAGCTATTTTAAAGGCTGCTTTAACTTGTTTGTCTTTGTATATAACTACTTCTAATCACTAGAGTTACTGTATTCTGTTATGTTTGACCAGAATTATATGACAAGAACTGGTAACAGTTGAGTGCCTCTGCCCATTGTCCATAATTTTACACTAACTGTGAGCAGTCTTCTTATGTGTCAGCTCATTATTTTTGAAACATTTGCCTTTAGGCTGTTCTTTGAGGTATCGATGAAGCCATTGAATTTCAAAACCGTAGTTCCGTGCACATAATACTAATGTAACAGCAGATGAAAATGGATAAAAGAGAATCATCTACATTTGTAGTTCCTATTTCTGCGGGTTTGCCTGGCCATGGTTGGAGAGGGAATGGTGTTTGATGGTAAACACAAGGTGTTTGGGGGTCAAGAAGCCTAGATTCTCTCCCTGGATCTGTCACTAACTTGCTACGTGACCTGAACACGTCACTTTACCTCTCTGTGCCTCAGTTTTCCCATGCATGAAAAAATAAAATGAAATGGGAAAAAAATATAATTGATGTACAAAGAAATGCACACATCTAATGCATTTATGCTAAAGATGAGTTTGGACATATGCAAGCACCTGTGATAGCACCACCACAATCAAGGCAGTAGATCCAACACCTTCCATATTTTCTTGGTGTTCCTTTTTCTTTTTTTTTTCTTTTTCTGTGTGTGTCTAACTGTGGTAAGAATCTTTAACATGATGTTTATCCTCCTTACAATTTTGAGGTGCACAACGCTATGTTTTTAACCACAGGTGCTAGGCTGTACAACAGATCTCTAGAACTAATTTATCTAGCATAACTACAATTAGCATAATGACAATTTTATATTTATTGATCCACAACCATTTCTCTCACCTCCCAGTCCCCGGAAGTCACTATTATAGTCTCTGCTTCTATGAGTTTGACTATTTTAAACGCCTTATATAAAGTGGAATCATACACTGTTTATACTTCTGTGACTGGCTTATTTCACTTAGCATAATGCCTTTCAAGTTAATCTTTGTTGCTACAAATGGCTAATTTTCTTCCTTTTTAGGCTTAATGATACTCTACTGTACATTCTCATTGACTGCATATTTCACATTTTTATCCATTCACCTGTTGAGGGACACTGTTTTTTTCCCCGTATCCTGGCTGTGGTGAATAATGTGGCAATAAATATGGGAGTGCAGATATCACTTCTAGATTCTGATTTGAATTATTTTGGATATATCCATAGAAGAGAAATTGCTGGGTCATATACTAATTCATTTAAAACGTTTTGAGGAACCTTAACCGTGTTTTCCATCACACTGGCTGCATGATTCTTTCTCACTAATAGTATATAAGAGTTCCATTTTCTCACGTCCTCAGCTTATCTTTTGCTTTTTTGATAATAGGAATCCTAACAGGGGTATGGTGGTATCTCACTGCAGTTTTGATTTGCATTTTCCTGGTAATTAATAATATGGAGCATCTTTTTATCCACCTGTTGGGCCTTTAAATGGGGAAATTTCTGTTCACATCCTTTGGCCATTTTTCAATTAGATTATTCAGTTTTTTGTTGCTATTTATTGTTTTTGCTATTCAGTATAGGAGTTTTTGTGTTGCTATTTGTTGTTTTTGCTATTCTAGGAGTTTTTAAATGTATTTTGCAAATTAAGAACTTACCAGATATGTAATTTCCATTTCTTTTTTACCATTTCATAGGTTACCTTCTCATTTTTTGATTAACTTTCCTTAGGTTGATTTTTCTCTTGCTTTTTAGTTAGTTGTAGTCCCACTTGAATATTTTTGGCTTTTGCTGCCTTTCCTTCTGGTGACACATGCAAGAATAATTGCCAAGGCAAATGACAAGAAGCTTTTCCTCTAGAAGTTGTAAAGTTTCAGGTTTTATATTTAAGTAAGTTTTCAATTAATTTTGATTTAATTATGTGCGTGGTATAAGGTAGAGGTATAGTTTTGTTTATTTTTGCATCCAGTTTTTCCAATACCATTTCTTAAAGAAATCACCTTCTCCTGATAGTGTATTTTTGGCACCCTTATCAAAGGTCAATTCATCTTATACTCATGGTTTATTTGGGGGCTTTCTGTTCTGTTTCACTGTGAATGAGTTACCAGTATCTAATTATTTATTTACCTATTTATTTAGTTTTTATTACTTTATTTGATTTTTGAAACAGGGTCTTGCTCTGTCATCCAGTTTGAAGTGCAGCCACACAATCATGGCTCACAGCATTTCTGATCTCCAAGGCTCAAGTCATCCTCAGCATCCCAAGTAGCTGGAAATATGGGCGTCCACCACCATGCCTGGCTAATATTTTTTATTTTTTGTAGAGACAGAGACTTGCCATGTTGCCTCGGTTGGTCTCGAACTTCTGGGCTCAAGCGATCCACCCCACCTGGGCCACCCAAAGTGCTGAGATTACAGGGGTGAGCCACTGTGCCTGGCCCTATCCATATGTATATAGAAGAAAACACATTGGAGATACTGTGATAGTTTAAATATGTACATTTAACACACCTATATACATTGTTGGCTATTTTTATTGCTTTCTATTAATTGTTAAAAAATTCTTTTTGCTTTAAGAAATTAAAAATGATATTTGATACCAGGCAAGACACAGAACCAAGGCAGATTTTGAACTTTCAGGCTTGTTTATACCTTGAGAGAGAAAGTTGAGCATATTGTATCAATGTTAGCAATCTTCTCAGATAGGTTATACTTAATTAAAATCTTATTAATTTTCATTAACTAAAGAAAGATGAGGCAACCAGAAGAAAATCTGGTGAGACACAGATACTTAGAGAACAAATATCATGCTGACCATTCAAGCACATGTGAAGTCAGAAGGAGTTTCAGCCAGTCGTGGGTATTGCAGCGCCATTGGCATTCGTCACTCCATTGTGGTGACGAGCATAGCACGGATTAGCTTGATGCAATTCCACGTTCAAATAGGATACTGATTCCACACTCGTCAAGCCACCTTTTGCTTATTGTTTGACTTCCTACAGTTTCTGACTTTAAAATAATATGCTAATCATACTGCTTAGTTTTCTGGTCTGTTGAAATAATTATATTTCCCAAGACAAAGAAAAAAATGATATGATAATTTTATACATTACTGTTCTTTTTTTTTTTTCAGTGCATTTTCCGTTTTTATTTTGCTATGCAGAAACATACATTCACCATGGGCTGTGATGCAGGTGACTGTGTAATGGAGAATCTCTCTTTTTGAAGACTATTTATAACACTAAATAGTTTTAATGACAGTGTAAATTCTGTACAGTGTAAGGCTTGGCTCTGAACTAGAATGTAAATATGGACCAGATTTGAAAATAAAACACTCTTTTCAAGTAAAAGAAGAAAAATCAATTTAAAAATACACAGAAAAAGAAACTAAGAAAACAAAGCCACAGGAAGCCCAACAGGTTCTCCTGAAGTGAAATGTCATAATATTGTAAACTAACAAAAATACAGGTTTTTCTTCCCAAAATAATGACAATTTACATATTTAGGACTGGTTAGGGAACTCTGAAAACCTCTCCGGATTGAACAGACCAAAGCAAACAATGAAGAAGAAATCAATTAATATGCTAAAATCAGTATTACCTTATAACAAATTAAATGAGATACACAAAGCAAGATTGTAAGCGTTAAATATTTCCAGAGGGTCAGAGAGTCATTACTGTTTATGGGTGAGAGCAAAAAAAACCAGATGAAACAAGTATAAGTTGTTTACTGAATAAACTTGATTATTGGCACATCTAATCTGGAAAAAATCTGACACATCAGATAGACCTAGACAGCTTCTAGCATTTGAGGGTAATCTTTGTTTAACTATAAACAAAAGATTTGTTACCTAAGAAATTGCAATTTTGTTTAGACTTTAATAATAATAAACTATGAAAGGCATGAATAGCTTATGTGTTACATGAAATCACGGTTTATATTGTTGGTTATGAACGTGCAGGTATAGCTGAAAACTGAGACATTTTGTGAAAATTTAAAATGCTGCTATTTGTAATTTTATTGTTGCTTCATGCATTATCAGTTTCGTGATGCTGAATCAGATTGCTTTATTATGGGAGGATCTCTCTGCCAGGGTCTTTATTAATGGTCAAGGTCAATTCTTCTGGATTGAAATTTTCCACGGACAGATACAAGTCAGTTGGGTTAGAAGAGGGAACTCCACATAGGCTCTGGTTTTCCTAATGGTTTGCATGGCTGCATTCATGTGCAAGCTAAGGTATTCCTGGTCATGGTCAATGTCTGCATCTCCCGTGATGACTTTTTGCTTCTCAATTCTTGTCTCTGAAATGCCCCCTTTCACAGTTTTGGTGATGTGCGTAGTGGTGGTGGTACTGGTGGTTTCAGATGTGATCGTCTGCTCGCTCATCAGCACGCCCGGCTCCAGATCTGTGCCGGGATCGACCTGTGATGGTTCATATGTGATGGTTTTGGTTTCAGTGTAAAACTTCCTTGGTAGAAATTTCTAGCTTTACTCCTCCTGGTGAAACACTGCCAAAACTGATGGTTTCCGTCTTCACCATTGAGGACTCAAAATGAGGTTTTTGTTCCAAAGTTTCTGAAACGTGGATGGCTGCACTCTGCTCCTCTTGTGGCTCGCGGGAAGCAGCAGCTGTCTCTTGCTGCTCCAGCACAGCTTTAGCGACCTCCTCCCCTGGTTCCTCTTTAGCCCCGTCCATCAAGGCAGAGCCCTCCTTCCCTTTAACACTAGAAGCCCCCGTGAATGTGGGCAGTGCTGTGGCATCGCCGCCGTCTCCTGCTGTGTAAGAAGCAACCCCACTTGTGTGCATCACACGCCTCTCCTCCACCAGCACAGTCTCCTGCACCACCTTCTCAGTGCTAAGTGGTAGGTGGTGTGAGCGGGGTTCCGTCTCAATTCCGCTGGATTCCGTCTTGGTTTCCATTTTCTCTTCAGGAACAAGTGGTTCAATCCTGGGGGCATCCTCCTGCCTGGCGGCCAGTCGCACGGGGGAGGTGGAAAACCTCTTCTCCCATTCATTCGTGACGGCAGTGTCTGTCGAGGTTTCTAAGAAGGTTCTTTTCAGCTCGCTAATGTCGGTTTGATGTTTCATCAGGTCATCTTGAGTTTTTTCTAACTCCTCAGTAGCGGTGGTCTCCCCGTCGGCTGTGGTGTCTGTGCGCTGTCAGTCTTTCCCTCGTGCCAGATGGCCGAGATGGGCGTGACTTCTTCCCCCTTCCTCCGTTTATCCTCTTCCTAGTCTCGCTCCTCCTCGGCCTTCTTCTCCGGAGTCACAGTGGTGATCAAGTTGGTCTGAGAGATGCCTTTTGTTGTGGCGTACTGGCCAGTACCAACCTCTGCAGCAGACATAGAATCCTTCATGTATATTTCATGGTTTTCATCCACTGATGCTCCATCCAAGCTGCGAGACATGGTATAACGTTTCCTGGACGAGCGTTCAAAGTAAGGCGCTGGGCGATCTATCAGTGCACTGTCTCTTCTCGTCTGCGCTTGTGTCCTGCCACTATAACGAAACTTGGAATCCAAGGTTAAGAATTTCTTGGGAGGTGCTTCTGGTAACGACAGTCTGAAAAATGTATGATGCTCAACACAAACTTTCCATAAACGCTTGGCAGCTCTATGGTTTGGCAGCTTAAACCCAATGGTGCTTTCAAATTGTTCAAACTCTCCTGGCCGGATCTTTATGTAAAAGTTGTTCCGTTTACTTTGGGAGGCCGAGGCGGATGGATCATGAGGTCGGCAGACTGAGACCATCCTGGTCAACATAGTGAAACCCTGTCTCTACTAAAAAAATCACAAAAAATTAGCTGGGCATGGTGGCGCGTGCCTGTAATCCCAGTGACTCAGGAGGCTGAGGCAGGAGAATTGCCTGAACCCAGGGGGCGGAGGTTGCGGTGAGCCGAGATCGCGCCATTGCACTCCAGCCTGGGTAACGAGAGCGAGACTCCGTCTCAAAAAAAAAAAAAAAGTTGTTCTGTTTATATGAAATCTTTAGAACCTTGGGCCAGGCAAATCTGTTTATTCGCAGCCGGTCACGATATATCAACAGACCACTTGCGCAAACTCCTAACATAATTTCTACTCCTTCTGAGTACTTAGCATGATGTAAATCGACCCCATACATGGACAATTTTTTGGCATTTTCCAAGAAATGCATCTCTGCTTCTGCCAGCGTCATCCCTCTGTGGCTCTTGAGCAGCTCGATCACTTTGTCTTCCAGTTCTTTCCTCTGGTTTGGTGCAAAGCGGAACTCGCTAACGTAATCGCTCCCACATTCGTCTGGGTCATAGTCTCCGAGTTCTGACTGGACAGTGTAGGAGCCCAGCAAGGCCAGGGTAACGAAGGAGCAGGGCAGCCTTCCGGACACGATGTCATCTCGCAAATGCAAGCAGAGGTAGTACCTGGTGATATCTTCAGATAGCTGGGCAGGGTCTGGTGGATAGAATTTCACGTTAAAAGAAAAGTGCCAAGCACCACTTCGAACCTGTTTTTTTATTTCCTTAGCAGGGTCCAACCAATTCTTCTGGTTTTCAGCATCTCGATACATAAACCCAAAGTAGTCTTTCTCTAGCAAGTTCAAGTGTTCACATACTTTATCAAACAGCACTTGTCCTCTGGAGCGTTTCTCTACATCACAGGTATATTCTGAGCCATCTAGAAGTATCACTTTGCACTGCATGCTTTTAGGCTTTTTGACAATCTTTAATGGAGACCGAGGGAGTTTACTGCTAGATGATTTCTAAGAAAGTTTATCGTCTTCTAATTGCTGATATTCGAGCTGTTTTGCAGCTCTGGAAGCAGATTCCTGTTCCTTGTCAGTGACCTCCCTCCGCACCGGGGTGCTGTGAGCTGCAGCGGCCGCGAACTGCTCCAGGGCCTGCTGCTGCTCCTCGGTGGGCGGCTCCGGCCCAGGGGCTCCCACGTGCCCCTGTGCTCCCACCGCCTCCTGGGGCTTGGCCTCCTGGTCCGGCTTGGATTCCGAGTCTGATCCAGATTCTGTCACCACGGTTGATTGTTCTGAAATCACCGGGGAGCCCGGGCGTGCTGCGGCGTGGGGACAAGGCTCGGGCGCGCGTCCTCGGCGGCGGTGCGCAGGAGACGTGGGGAGGAAGCTGCAGCCCAGGGCTGCTCGCCGTGGCTCCCCCCGCCCACCGCCCCGTTGCAGGAGACACCAAGGCTCCGCGGAGCTGCGGCGGGGGCCCACGCCCGGAGACCGTGCGAGGAAAGCCAACCTCGTCCTGCCTGCCCACCCAGCCGCGGGGGAGGGGGGCACTGCAAGGAGACAGCCGCCAATGCCTATAGCTTTAGCCCTTGATTCCCACTTAGATGATGGCCCGGCCTGTACATTACTATTCTGAGCTTGCATAAAATGAGAACCCTTGTGAGAATCAGGTCCTCTCTTTTGCTGAGTCACATTGAGTATTAGGAATGGTATAATGACAGGCTCACTATGGATATGGCCCTTCATAAACTTTTTGGAAATGACCAGTTTAACTTTACAAAGCGTCAGCTCTCTGGATTACTGAACTTGCCTTGTGCTATACGTAGTACTTCAGTATCTTACTGAAACGTAGAAAAATCTGTCATTTCCTCTCTCAATTGGCATTTTACTAGGACAAAATGGTCTGTGCAATGATTTATCCAATACTAAATATTTATTAAATACGTACTATACATAAATGTGTGGCAAATAGAAGAGCGGAAAAGAAATTAGACACGGTCTTTGCCAGCAAGAAGCATCCAGTCTACTGACCTCTGAGATGCAAATCACACGTAATGTTATAATGCAGGATGTAGAGAAGAGAGGCAGGAAGATCACAAAGGAGTCTCTAGATTTGCCTGAGGACGTTGGGGAACTGTCTCCCTTCAAAGAGATTAGTGTACAAGGATGACAAGTAGGAAGGATACATGAATGGGTATCTCAAGTCAAGGACACTTTCAAAGGCATACTATTTTTGCAGGAATAAAAAGTGCTTTCGTTTGTCTTCTTTAAAGTGAAAATAGGAATTAAAAATACACTCAAGGTATAATTAAGGAAACTCAAGTGTGTGAAAGGGTTTGTGTGCCGTGCTAAACGGCAGATATTATCTTAGACAACGGACAGTTTTGCCTATAGTAGTTACAAAATATTTGGGCAAAACCATGGAGAAGGAATTAAAGTCTACATGGTTATTAAAATGGTCTGAATTTAAAAAGTTGTTTAATATGAATTCATGCTAATATTTGTATGTTTGGGTTTTCTTCTTCATAGCTAGATGATAAATGTGAGGACAGTATCCATATTTATTCTTAGATTTATTGTTTATTGCAAGTGTGCAATACAATTTTTTAGTAGCAGAAGCTCAATCTTCACTTTATTATTGATTAAATAAACCACTGTATTAAAAATGAAGATTTAAACATTCCAAATTATGGAAGCATGAATTGATCACAAATATTAAGCCCATTTTTTTCTTATTAAAAAATTTCATAGAGAGAAACTTAGTTTTTGGGCTGCTTTAACTAACATAAACTTGATGATGTATAAACAGCAAAATAAACATATATTTATTCCTCACAGTTCTAGAGGCTGGGAAGTCCAAGATTAAGGTGCCAGGAGATTCACTGTTTGGTGAGTGCCTACTTTCTCATAGATGATACCTACTCCAGCCTCACGTGGTGAGGTGGGGCGGGGGGAGCTCTCCTAAGCCTCCTTTATAACGCACTGCTCACATTCATAATGACTCCTTCTTCACGACCTAATCACCTCATGAAGCCCTCACCTAATATTATGATATGGAGGAGTGAGGATTTTAACATACCAGTTTTGGAGAACACAAATGTTCAGACTGTAGCAAAGATTTTTGCAAGAACTAATTTATTGTAGGCAGTATGTAATTTAATTAACAAATTGAATGTTTACATATACATTAAATAATACAAACCTCTATAAAGTAAAATATGTCCCTTTCATTGTTGACTGTATATTGCCATTGAGAAATAAGCATTAGGGGGACAATAAGTATAAACCACAAGAGTACTGTAGATATTTTCAATTGAACAACTGGTTGGTATAGTCATCTACAACTTAAACATACAAGAAAGAAAACACATGTTTTTAAATAGACATGAAAAATAAGAAGGTAGATAGAAGGATGGATTACGTGACAGGTAGATTAGTCAAAAGATGGATACACACGTACACACAGACACACACACATTTTTAAACATCATAATTCTTGTGGGAAGTGTGTGTTGAGTACATCAGTGTCTAAAAATTTCTGCCTTCTCTCTCAATGTCTTTGGAGAGAGGGAGAAAGATAATTTCTAGATATCGAGTCATCTATACGTGTCTCTTACGTTAAGCTTATGCTTATTAGTCAGAATTCAATTTGCTCCTTAAGGTCTTACAAAACAACGTTTAACCGTACTGTAAGCTTTTGTCGTATCAACTGATGGAACACCTAGTTATTGATTATCTTAGGTTATTATTATTTAATTAACTGATGTGGTAAGTCTGTTAGTTTATCATTTTGAAAAGCTTGGCGGATGCCTTGATTATAACATATACAGTCATGGGCCACAAAACATTTCAGTCAACAACCCACTGCATATATGACAGTGATCCCATTAAATTACAAGATGCTGAACATTTTCCATTTTAAATATAGAATTTTAAAAAATTTAAACATAGGAATTAAAAGTTTTTACTATAGCTAAAAAATGCCTATTTAAAAAATTTCTAGTGGTATCATAAATGCTATAGTGCGGTAGTGCAATGCATATCCCTGTGTTTGTGGTGACACTGCATAAACAGACCTACTAGGTGTCAGTCATATAAAAGCAGAGCACATACAATTATAAACAACAGCTAATATGTGGTAACGATAATAAATGACTTACTGGTTTATGTATTTACTATACTATACTTTTTATTGTTAGAGTGTACTTCTTCTACTTATATAAGAAAAAGAACTCTATACCAGCCTCAAGTAGGTCCTTCATGAGGTATTTCAGAAGAAGGTATTCTTTTTTTAAATAGAGTTTTGCCCAGGCTGGAGTACAAGGGCATGATCAGCTCACTGCAACCTCTGCCTACCGCTTTCAAGGGATTCTCCTGCCTCAGCCTCCCAAGTAGCTGGGATTACAGTCATCCGCCACCACACCTGGCTAATTTCTGTGGTTTTAGCCAAGTCTGGTCAGCATGATGGGGTTTCAGCATGCTGACCAGGCTGGTCTTGAACTCCTGACCTCATGATCCACCCGCTTCAGCCTCCCAAAGTGCTGGGATTACAGGCGTGAGCCACTGTGTCCAGCCAAAGGTATTCTTATGATAGTTCCATATGCATTATTACTCCTAAAGACCCTTCAGTGGACAAAGTATGGAGGTGGAAGACAGTGATATGATGATTCTTACTGTGTGTGTAAGCCTAGTTAATGTGTGTGCTGTCTTAGTTTTTTGCAGAAAAGTTTATGAAGTAAAAAAGTCAAATTAAATAAAAATCTAAAAACAGAAAAAAGTATATAAAGATATAAGAAAAAATATTTTGGTACAGCTGAACAGTATGTTTGTTCTAAGCAGCTGTTATTATAAAACAGCCAAAAAGTCAAAATTGTTAGATTGTTTATAAAGTAGAAAGTTACAGTAAACTAAGGTTAATTTATTATGGAAGAAAAAAATATAAAAAAAAAATACATTGGCCTGGCATGGTGGCTCATGCCCATAATCCCAGCACTTTGGGAGGCTGACGTGGGTCAAACACAAGGTCAAGAGATCGAAACCATCCTGGCCACCACGGTGAAACCTGTCTCTACTAAAATACAAAAAAAATCAGCCAGGCATAGTGGCGTGCACCTGTAATCCCAGCTACTCAGGAGGCTGAGGCAGGAAAATTGCTTGAACCTGAGAGGCGGAGGTTGCAGTGAGATGAGATTGCACCACTGCACTCCAGCTTCCCAACAGAGGGAGACTACATCTAAAAAAACAGTTTAGGGTAATCTAGGTGTACAATGTTCATATAAAGTCTACAATAATGTATAGCGATGGTCTAGGCCTTCACATTCCCTCGCTGATTCACCCAGAGCAACTTACAACCCTTCAAATTTTCTTCCTGTTAAAATGGCCTGTGGAAGTGCACCATTTTTAAATCTTTTATACGATAGTCTAACTGTTCCTTTTCTATGTTTAGATGTTTATATATATAAATACCTACCATTGTGCTGTAATGACCTAAAGAATTTATTACAGTAACATGCTGCACAGGCTAGTAGCCTCGGATTAATAGGATATTCTATATAGCCCAGGTACACAGTAGGCTACATCGTCCGGGCGTGTGTAAGCAAACACTATGTGATTTGCATAACAATGAAACGGAAATTGCCTAATGATGCATTTCTCAGAACATATCCCCATTGTTAAGTACATATGTCTTGTTTCTTTTGGAGATTTTTAACATCCTTGCACAGTATCTTCCTAAAAGATACCTATATTTTGATGAAATAGTCAATGCTACAGTTTCATTTTTCCTATACAAAAAAGTTTTCGAAATAGTTACAATTTTTAAAACTATAAAGTATACCAAACAGCTGGAGATATCATCTACCCATTCAAAAAAGTCTATCTGAAGAACTTTTGAACTGCCCCACCAGGAGTAGTATGGTAGAAGATGCTCTACTTCTAAAATTGGTAACAAAATCAAATAGTCATCTCTCAAGACACATACAGGCAGCAAAATATACTTCGATGTAAACCTCGTCCTAGAAACACATTGCTGGCGTGGCACCATTTAAACTCATACTAATTTCAAAATCCGTCTGATTTTTAACAACTTCGTTTTAAGTTTAAAGTATGGGTTTTATTCTGACCCTCTTAAAACAATCCAGGGTGCCCCTGACAAGTATTCCGTGTAAACAAATAAACTACTAGGGACACTATTTCAATCAGGTTGACTTTTTGTTGAAGTAACACTTTCCATTCTGCTAAAGTTCAACTGATGCTGACTTCACTGAATGGCTGTTGGGAAACTGCCCTCGGAGCTTTATTTGGAACTGCTACTGTCGTAGTAATGAAATGGTGTATTGTGAAAGTCACGCTCAGTGTTGATTCTGTTCCTAAGGGGCATTGTTGGAGTATAACATCGTTTCGTTACCTACCTGACAAGCTGTCTATTTAACAGAGAAGAAATGATCTGACCGTGGTTGACGGTGCAGCTGCCCCTTCTCAGTGATGAGGAAAACAAGCTGAGTCAAAACA